AATATATAAACAGTATAAATATCACTATAATCAATATATAAACAGTATAAATATCACTATGATCAATATATAAACAGTATAAATATCACTATAATCAATATTAAAACAGTATAAATATAACTATAATCAATATATAAACAGTATAAATATCACTACATATATATATATATATATTATATCACATTTGTCTGCACTGCAGCTGAACTCAATATCATTATCCTTTGACATAAACACATAAACACATGAACAAGTGAGAACTCTTCAGACTGAACTTGAACCTGTCTTTGTGTTTGAACACCAGTTTGACCTCTGACCCCCCCCCTCCTCCAGCAGACAGACAGATGCTGTCTCGCCTCTGGCCGACCCATCGCCGCGGTAACAGAGACCATATTCAGTGTCTCTGTCACCTCAAATAACCCCCGAAAAACCGCCCCCTTTCTACTCTGCATACAGAGCGGAGAGGTCAGAGGTCATAGGTCAGACAGGAGAGTGGGGGTGAATAGGAGTTATTATTAATATATGTGTGTGTGTGTGTTGGGGGGGGCTTTCACACACTCTGTGACTCAAGTTCAAGAGCAAAACACACACAGAAGAACAAATACTACATGGTAAGTAAAAGTACTGCTTTGTTGTTGTTATTATTATTATTATTATTATTATTATTATGTATTGATGATTTGTGACTTTATTCTCTACTTTACTTTATTTCCACAATAACAACATCCTCTTGTTCCTCTTGCTTTCTTGAATTTTATTTAATGTCAGTTTCAGAATCTGCTGGTGTGGTTTCAGGTTCCTAAAGGTTCTAAACATTTGTAATATTTAATAGTAAAACATATTATGATATATAATAATAAAATATAATATTAAACATTGGAAATATTATATTTTTATATAGACATATATATAATATAATGTAAGAACGACAGACAGACTGTGAGTGGGAATAAAGTCCTCATTGTGAAGTGGGACTCTTCACATGCTAATGTTTATTCTAATGAAGTCTGGGAAACACACTCACACACACACACAAAGAGCCTGTGTGACCTCTGACCCCATCTACCCCCCTCTGTCTGCCAGCAGCCGGAGTCGAAAAAAACGCACCCTGAGAATCCACATTAGTCCTGGACCCCCAAACAGACCTGATCCTGAAGGATCTTCAGAGGAAGAGGAGAAAGAGGATGTACACATGATCTGGATCTGGGTTTAAACTCATGTCCTCCTCTTCCTCTTTGTACACATCATTTCCTGCTGCAGGCTGCTGTGATGAGGTCAGAGAGCAAAGATGATGCTTCACTGCCTCCATTTATTCCAGTTTTTATTCCTGCTTCTGAAGCAAACATCAGCCGAGGATCTGGACCACGTTCTACTGTCATCGAAAGGTTTCTAAATGTTCTTAAAGGTTTATAATTTACAGAAGCGCATTGCATTCACTGGATAAAAAAAAATCTGACTCCATATCTCGTAATTACGAGATCCTGATCTCAGAGGAAAGGTGCCACAGAACTACTAACTGCACATCCACACATCTGTATAACGCCAATTCATAACAAAAGTTTTTTTTAGGAGACTTTTCAAATAGTGCAGGTCTAACCGAACTCTTTTTAACAATTACAGAGACCCAACAGTACCACCAAATGACAAGGACCTTGGCAGACAGGGCAAGGAAAAGACGTGCCTTTAACAGGAGAGAGAGAGGAAGAGAGACAGAGAGCAGAGAGACAGAGAGACAAGACCAGAACAGACGCAACAATTACAGAGGTTCCTAAAGGTTTATAAAGGTTTATAAAGGTTCCTAAAGGTTCCTTAAGGGTTATAAAGGTTCCTTGAGGTTTATAAAGGTTCCTTGAGGTTTATACATGTTCCTAAAGGTTCCTCAAGGTTCTTCAAGCTTTATAAAGGATCCTAATTTTTCCAAAAGGAACCTAAATGTTCTAAAAAGGTTAATAACGGTTTATAAAGGTTCTTAAATGTTCCTTAAGGTTCTAAAAAGGTTTATAACGGGTTAATAAAGGTTCCTAAAGGTTTATAACGGTTTATAAACGTTCCTGAAGGTTCTAAAAAAGGTTTATATTGGGTTTATAAAGGTTCCTAAAGGTTTATAACGGTTTATAAAGGTTCCTAAAGGTTTTGAAAAAGGTATATAACGGTTTTATAAAGGTTTAGAAAGGTTCCTAAAGGTTTAGAAAGGTTCCTAAAAGTTCCTTAATGTTCTAAAAAAGGTTTATAAAGGTTCTAAAAAAGGTTTATAACGGTTTATAAAGGTTAATAACAGTTTATAAAGGTTCCTGAAGGTTTATAAAGGTTCCTGAAGGTTTATAAAGGTTCTTAAAGGTTTATAAGGGTTCCTAAAGGTTCTTAAAGGTTCCTAAAGGTTTATAAAGGTTCTTAAAGGTTTGTAAGGGTCCCTAAAGATTCTTAAAGGTTCCTAAAGGTTTATAAAGGTTTATAAAGATTTATAAAGATTTATAAAGGTTCCTAAAGGTTTATAAAGGTTCTTAAAGGTAGGTTCCTAAAGGTTTATAAAGGTTTATACGTTTTTAAGAGTTCTTAAAGTAAGTCATTTCAGGGGTTTCAATCTCTGTCTGTCTTTGTCCTCTTCGTGCCCCTCCCCCTGCTTAGATTTGGTTTACTGAGAGGATCAGAGGTCAGAGGTGAAGAGTCAAGAGCACACACTGTTGTTGACACAGTCCACGTGATGAGTTCAAGTTCATGTCTGAAATCTGCAGTGAAACATTTAATATATACTATCTATTTAATATATATAATATTCACTGATAGCACTCACAGTATATAGACTGATATATTGATCAGCACTAACAGTATATAGACTGATATATTGATCAGCAGTAACACTGTGAGCACTGGACTCCCTGACTGGTCCCAGACCAACAGACTGCTCTGCACTGTGTGTCTGAGCCCTTTCTATCAGAACCAGCATTAACTGTTTCAGCAGTTTGAGCTACAGTAGCTCGTCTGTTGGATCAGACCACACGGGCCAGATCTGATACCCAGATAATCAGTGTTACTGGCAGTGCTCACTCTGTTAGGGCTGATCAATGGATGTATATATATACATATATATATAATATAAATGTAATAGAATATTTAAAGGTATGTTTAGTCTACCTTGTACTACGAGCCGTCCGAGTGCTGTTCTTCTGGATCTACTTCCTGGTCTGTTTGCTGAGCAAACGTAAACTCCTGAATGCTGCAGCGTGGCGTCTGAGATCATCAGGTTACCTGTTCCCAACACCTGGATCCCCTCCACACCGATGGACCGCCCGTCTGACACGCACACACAGACAACATCAGGTTACCATGGTTACTGACCGATAACACATAACTAACTGCAAACTTAAAGGAATTTACCGAGGCGGCTCCAGGACACGATGGGCCGTGGGTTTCCTGTGGCGATGCACTCCAAGATGGCGGTCTGGTGGACATTGATGGTGAGGTTCTGAGGACCGGACAGGATGACGGGTTCCCGATAGATCCTAAATCCTGCAACTGAACCAGAACCAGAGAGGTTAATCAGGTAAAACCTTGCCGCCTATAAAAAGTGGGTGTTCTGTGCCCTCACTATCGTCTTACCGGTGACAGACAGCTGAGCCTCGTGGCTGTAGCGAGTGTTAGCGATGTTAGAGGCAACACAGCGAAACAAACCACTGTCTGTCCGCCGCACACCTGTGATCTGCAGCACGCCGTTGGGCAGCAGCGTGTACCTGCACCACACGGATACACATTGAAGTTATCTTAATTACATATTAAGTAAATGATATGTTAATTAACCCTGAAGTATTAAAGGTGTGTGAAACCTACCTGGGGTCCTCGGTGCTCAGTGGGAGGCGGTCTCTCTGCCAGGTGATGTTGGCTTCTGGGATTCCATTTACCTGACAGGTGACTCTGGCCACACCCCCTTCATCTACCGCCACAGACTCTGGGTGAGACAGGAACTTAGGGAGGGCTGTGGGAGGACGGGGGAGATGATGAATACATGCTGCTGTGTATGTTATTAGTATGTTGCAGCGGTGGTCATGTGACTCACATGCGAGCAGTACTCGGGCTTTGCGGCTGATCAACATGCCATAGCGGTTCTGTGCGGCGCAGTCATATTCTCCGGCGTCCGTTTCGTTGCTCTCTCGCCTCTTAGAGAAGTTTCTGATGAGCAGCGTGCCGTTACCGAGCACGGTCGCCCTGACGCCTGTCGCCACAGGAACACTGTTCCGCCTCCAGGTGATGGAGATTGGCCCCTCCCCCTCCACCTGACAGTCCAACATCAGGGGGCGGTCCCTCACTGCGATGACATCAATGGGCTCTTTGATAAAAGCCAGCTCTGAGGCTCCGACCACACCTGAGAGGACGAGAGCAGGTGAAACATCACAGACCGAATGATGCTCTCTGCCCTCAGTTTGGTCTGACCGGGGTCAGGTAATAGAGCACAAACACTTTTATTTATCAATTTATTTATTAACTAAAATACTAATTTACATTGTATGTTAATCTTATTTATTGATGAATACATGAGAAATGATCAATAATGAGAATGATTCTGCTTAGAGTTTTCTAATATGAAAATGTATTTGTGGAGTAGAAACAGGAAATACTCACTGGCAGTCAGAGGATGAAGGTGATGATGATGAAGATGATGGTCAGTGACAGAAATGTATTATTGATTCACTGTTGATATATTTATAAATTAACAAGATAACAAAACATATGAATACAGTCAGTACCGAGGGCACACAGACCCTACAGTCAGTACCGAGGGCACAGAGACCCTACAGTCAGTCTGTTAAAAGTAAAAGCTCCTTGTCCCAAACTCCCAACTAGACATTTTCATCCTCCTCTTCCTCCTCCTCCTCTCTTTTCAACTTGAACTTGGTCGAGGTGACTTTCCCAGGCTCCCCCTCCTCCCATCAGACGATGATGTCACCACCTTGTTCTGATCCCAGCTGGTCTTTCAGATGTGGGAGGAGAAAAGAGACGACCCCCCCCCCACGCCAACAACAAGGACAACAACAATGTGAACCCAGACACAACAGCCCCCCCACAAATCCCTCAGAACACCAGAATCAGAGACCCTGTTCAGCCAGCAGCTGCTGCACTAAAGACGTCTGCTCAACTTCAAGTTCAACTTTATTGTTCACGATGAGGTCGACAAACCAGAGTGTGACCGAGTCCACTAACAGGACTCCCAGTCCTCCTTTAATCCCTGATCCACACTGTATAGGGTCTCACCCGTCCACACACACTCACCCATCCACACATACTCAAACAGCGATGCGCAGCATCAGCAGCAGTTCGCAGGACACGCTCTGCCTCCGACTTAGCTGGTCCTCATACAGGAAACACCTAAACGTACAGAGACCTTGACCCGGAAACACCTGACATGTGATCAAGTCCCACAATGCTGAAGCAGGTTCTGATTGAACTGACAGTGCTCGGTTCATGGTTTATGATCTGGACCAGGTCCAATGTGGTCTTCAGCACACACACACTATGAGGACACACACACACACACACATACACTCTATGAGGACACACACACACTATGAGGACACACACACACACACA